CATCATGAGGCATGCCACAGAGGTGGTGGGGACTGTGGCCGACGGAAGACGACCACATGTCCTATTTAATGGGGCATCACCAGACTACTGCTGCCATGCTTTCCAAAATATGATGGAAAGGCCCGTGAGATGACTCGGCAGGTAAAGGCACTTGCTGTGAGACCTGATGACAAAAGTTTGGCCCTCAGGACCCATATGGCAGAAGGAGAAAACTGACTGCTGCCAACTGTCCTCTGACCTCCACAGGCATGTGCATGTACATATGACCCCCAACACACACACACACACACACACACACACACACACACACACACACACACACACACACACACACACACACCCCAAAGGGAACAAACGTAAAAAGAGGAGCTAAAGAGACTGCCCAGAAGGTAAGAGCACTTCCTGCTCTTGCAGAGGACCAGGCTAGCTTCCCAGCACCAGTGTGGCAGCCTGCAACCATCCCTAACTCCAGTTCCAGGGGATCCAGGCCCTTCTCTGGCCTTGTGAGCACTATTTTAATGTAAAAAGAAAGACATGTGAGAAAGATATGCTGCTAAGTGATCTCATTTTCCAAATTCAGAGCTTGGACTTTAATGGACAATCCCATTGCTCATTGCTGGCCCTCATTAAACAGACACAGACAGACACACAGACAGACACACAGACAGACACACACACACATTTTGGGCCAAGAAAACAAAATAAAAATATGTCAGAGAGCAAAAAATAGGGTGTAGGCCAACAGTCTGTTTGTACTTTGTGTGTGTGTGGGGGGGGGTGCTTTCTTTTGTTTGAAATAGGGTAAGCTGACCTTGAACTTCCTATGTAGCTAAGGATAACTTTACATTTCTCATCCTCCTGCTTCAACCTCCCAAGTGCTGGGATTCCAAGTATGAGTCACCACACCTGGTTTATGCTGGGGACCAAACCCAGGACCTGGAGCATTAAATGCAGGCACCCTACCACTAGGATGTGGCCTCTTCCCAAGCAGCCAAATTTCCTGTGGCTAAACTCTGAAGAGCCCCAAATTTGTATCATCACCCAGCCTTCCTTCCTGAGCCCCAGGTCCAAACAAACCAATGCCTGCTGGACATGCTGTCCGAGCCTCGAAGACCCCCTCAAACTCAGGACCTCTTCACAGCCACACTCTCAGAAGGACCTGGTGTGCCTGAAGCTTGAAGCCTGGGGATCCTCTGGACCCTCCCCTCTTACCGGTCTCACTTCTCCAAAGCTCCTCCCATTTCCTAAATATCGGTCAGCTCACCCTTACCCCAGTCAATGCCACCAAGCCCCTGCCTGAGCTTACTGTTACAGCCTAGAAACAGCTTCTCCACCGTGGCCTCCTAGATTCTAACGCTACTCTGGAGCTCGAGGGATCCCTTTAAGATACAAATCAATCCAGGTTCAACCTCTTCAATGGCCTACTATTGTCCTAAAATTAAGTCCCAAATCCCATCTCTACAACCTGATCCTGTGAAGAAGTCTCCAGCATCTCAAATCTCTCTTCTAATCCGCCTGCTGGACCTTAGACTCTGCCTGAAGCACACTCCCTTCTCACACACATATCCCCACATTCCTTCCCCATACCAGTGATCCTTTAGGCCATCAGAAGTGGCATGGACTTTCTCCTACACATGCCCAGAGCTACTTACTTCCTTTGTATAACTTTCACCCAAATGGGTCTTTACTCCTTAAAAATCTTCCTCTCTAGAGCCTACCATCCATCAGAAGACTGTTGCTAGGCCACTACGGCATCCCAATGAACCCTAACCCAGGCACACACTACAGACACAGCATTTGTGAGCACACTAAGGAGACTGTCCGAGGAAACACCTTGTCTTACCTGCATTGCACACACATACCACAAACAGTCCATTAATCCCACCAGTAGCGTCCAACTCACAAACAACACAGAAATAATGGACGATAACACAGCACTCTTCCCAGGCAGACCTGCCTCGGATTTCCTCCTTCTCCTCACCAGGAAACCCTCCTAATACTCCCTTCTCAAAACTTTCTCGCTGCTTGCCAGACATGGTGGAACATGCCTTTAATCCCAGCACTCGGGAGGCAGAGACAGGAGAATCCCAGAGTTCGAGGCCAGCCTGGTCCACAAGAGCAAGTTCCAGGACAGTCAGAGCTACACAGAGCCCAGTCTTGAAAAACCAAAACCCGCCCAGCAGTGATGGCGCACGCCTTTAATCCCAGCACTCGGGAGGCAGAGGCAGGCAGATCTCTGTGAGTTCCAGGACAGGCTCCAAAGTTACACAGAGAAACCCTGTCTCGAAAAACCAAAACCAAACAAACAAAACCTTTCATGCTGCTTTCTGATGCGGCTGAACCACTAAAGCTGGAAAGTAAAAAAATTCTCCCAAATCTAGCGCAGTGGTTCTCAACCTTCCTAACGCTGCGATCCTTTAATACAGTTCTTCATGTTGTGCTGCCCCCCAACCATACAATTATTCCGGTGTTACTCCATAACTGTAATGTTTCTATTGCTATGAGTTGTAAATATCAGATATGAGAGCCTTGTGGGGTCGCAACCCACAGGTTGAATATCCTACCTACCTGGAAAGTGAAGTTCAAGTCCAGCTCTGAAAGACTGGCTGTGATTACACTGAGAATTTGGAAGCTTGACAGTCTTGAGAAGAAAGGGTACCTAGATCAGTTTCAATGCCTGCCCACCAATAACAAGTCTTCTATAAGCAGTTTGGAAGGTCAGAATAGCAGCCATCCAGTTACCCTCTATGAACTAGATGGTTTGTTCTCCAAATGAGAATAAGCTCATATATTTGAGGGTCTAGGAATTCTTTATGAGAAGTGATTTCTTAGGGAAATAATCCTTTAAATGCAGAATAAACAAAAACTCCTGGGTAAAATCAGTGTTGTTACTTGTGTATGTGTGAATACAATGGAACCAACCGGTCAGGCAGAAAACACAAGGAGAATTAATATGCAAATGATTCCCTGTGCCAGGTGAAGGGCAAAGTGACATAATTTTGTAGTTATTAGCAGAAAACAGCAATTGGATTAGCCTGTTGATCAGGCTTGCTAAAGTCAACACAATCACACAGAGAGCCTCGGTTCAGTTCAGCAGAATAGCATTTATCATACTAAATTAAATTTTACTTGGATTTATTGCATTTGTAACCTTGAGTTTATGCTGCACAAATAAATGTTTTGGTTTACAGGTGTATCAAAGCTCTACCCAAAGAACTTCATATACAAGTTTATGTGTGAACACACATGAGTAAAATCATAATCAGGTAAACATTAAGAATTTGTGAGGATTTTTTTATGTTTAAAAATCTGAGCCAGATATGATGGGCAGGCCTATGGTCCCAGCATTTATGAAGCTAAGGAAAAAGGATGGCAAGCTAGAAGCCAGCTGGGCTATAGAGTGCCACCTTGTCTCATAAAAATAAAAATAATTTGTGAATTGCTTATGGCCTCACCTTGAAGGATGATTTAAAGGGGACTCAAAAATCACATGAGTGATTGGATCAACTCTAGGTACACAGACACATATAGAGTACGTGTTTGTGTATAACATATGCCTTTAAGCATCACAACACAGGCCTTACATTAATCCATGGCTTTTACCCACACATTCTCTTCAATGTGTTCTAAACTTGTCAAATTCAACCTAATCAAGGTCACGAAATGTAAAGGCCTGTGGATGCCAACTGGTAAGGGGTGGAGCTGGTCAGGGCACGAGCAAATTTTTTCTTAAAACATTCTTTATCCATCCTTTTTTTTTGGTCTTAGCTACACCAGAAGAAAACATTACATAAATATTACAAATGGTCTCAGTGTGGGAGACTGTGCCAGTGAGTGCTGTGGCTTGTATTATAGCAAAATAAAAATAGAGCTCATACTCCACTTGAGAGTGGCAACATGAGAATTCAAGACTGTTACCAGGTCTCTCAATTTTTAAAGTAAATTTAATGTATATCACAAATTTATATTAGTTCAGTTTGTGCTAAATTTAATATTTAAAGAAAAACTCCCTATTTTAAAACCCTGGCAACAGATTTTTTTTTTTAAGTTCCTGAACACTATGGTGGCCAAAAAAATAGTATGTCTGCAAATCAGGGAGCAGGGAAACAATCAGTTTGCAATCTGCCCTCACGTCTCCTTCCAGCTGCCCACCCCCAGCATCTTCACGGCTTCTGCCATCTGACAACGTCGCCGTCAAGGCCAGCACTCAGGATCCTCAAGGCTGCCCACTCACACGTCGACCCTCGGCCGTCCTGCACAGACACGCCCGCTCTCCATCCTCTGCAGCTCTGCTCCAGTGACCTGGCCTCCCAGGCGTTTGTCCCGACTTGCTCCTTACTCGTTCCTCTGGGTCCCTCCTCAGTCCCCGTCTACGCCCGGGACCCCGTCCGTCCCACTCAACATCTGATGTCGAACCAACACACCGGACCACGTAAAGCACCTCCAAGAGGCGAAAGGGGGAAAGCCACAAACTCGTCACGGAATCACATCGCGGGACCACGGCCCCCTGCCACTCAGGGGCCAGCCGTCCATTCACTTGTGCGCGCACCGAGCTCTCCCCCCGGGGTGGAGGCGCGACCCTCGAGCCCCCGAGGCCTTCCGGGCCGACAGTCAAGGGCTCGTGGGCGGTGGGTGTCCAGAGCACCGAGGAGCCGCACCGCCCGAATCGGGCGACTCTCGGTCCCGCCTCAGCGCTGCGTGCGATTTCCTCTCGGGGTCATCCTCCCGCTTAGGCCGCCCGGCCCCGCCGCCCGCCTTTCCCCCGGCTCCGCCGTTTCCAGCTCCCCGCACCGAAGGCCCGGCGCCCCTCGCACCTCCACCGAGATCGCGAGCCGCACTTGGTGTCGCCAGGCCGGCCAGAGCCGAGGCCGCAGCCGCCCGGGCCCGGCTCCCCACCGCGGCCCCCGCCCGGCCCCGCCGCCGCCGCCGCCGCCGTCTCGGCCGCAGCGACCTCTCCCCCGCCTCCCTCCCGCACCGCCCGCGGCGGCCCCGGCTCTCACCCGCGACAGGGTGAGGTCGGTCATGAGCTGCTCGAAGGCCCGCGTCTCCTCGGCCTGCCGCTGCGTGTGCAGCGCGATCTTCTCACTGAACTTCCGCGGGTTGGCGCTGCCCGAGCCCGGCGAGGCGGCCATGGCGCGCGCCCCGCGCCAGCGGGCTAGGCAGACGGCAGGCGCGGGGGGCCCCGCGGCTCGGCCCACCCGGTCGCTCCGCGGGCCGCCCGAGCCGACGCCCGAAGCCTGTCCTCCGGCGCGACCCGGCAGAGGAGCCGCCGCGGCCCCGGAGCCCAGCGAGCGGCCGGGAGCGCGCCGAGGTCCGCCCCCACGCGCCGGCCCCGCCCTCGGCGCGGCCTGCCTGCTGGGCCTCCCGGCCCCGAAGCCCGGCCTCCCGCGGTCCCGTCGGGCCTCCCAGCCGCCGAGCCCGACCTCCCGCGCGCAGGACGGCGCTGAGCCCGCCGTCCCCAGCCTGGTGGTCCCCTCACACCTACATCCCGTCGGCAAAGCCAAACCGCGCCCACGTGTGGGCGCCGCTGGGTACCACTGCCCACATCCTCCGGCTTCGGGACGGACTTTGGATTTAGGGGACTCGCTGAGAAGAGGGTTGTGCCAGTCAATACACCTACGCTCTTCCAGCGAGCGTGATTTAGTTTGCGGGTGCAACCTGATGGACCTCACTTGCAGGAGTTTTCCACAGAGCGTACCTGGGGACCTCGTTGGAACGGCCTGGAGGCTAACCACTGCCTCCTCCTACCCATTCCGGTTTAGTTTCCTGGTGGCCTTCTGAGGTCACCATCACCACCACCACCACCAAAATCAGCCTAAGCCTGGATCTCAGTTTCTAACCCTAACTCCTCCTGTTTTACACCAACTAGAGACGCTATGCAGGCCACAGCAGCCCTGTCACTCACAGCTGGAGCGCCATTCTTTGCAAATGCCCCTGTGGTGTCTACAAAACCCCAGCTTCAGGCGGTACCAATTCTACCTTTAAAAAAAAAAAAAAAAGATTCGTTTTATTTTTAACTATGTGTAAGTGTGTGGACATGTATATGCAGTTGCCCATGGATGTCAGAGAAGCCAGACGACCCTGGACTGGGAACCAAACTCGGGTCCTCTGCAAGAGCGGTATATACTTTTTTTTTTTTTAAGTTTAGTTTTTTTTCCAGACAGGATTTCTCTGTGTAGCCCTGGCTGTCCTAGAACTCACGCTGTAGACCAGACTGGCCTCGAACTCACAAAGATCCTCCTGTCTCTGCCTCCCAAGTGCTGGGACTCTCTTTACATAGTGGTTCTCAACCTTCAAATGCTGCGACCCTTTAATACAGTTCCTCATGTTGTAGTGACCCCCAACCATACATTAATTTCATTGCTAGTTAATAACTGTAATTTTGCTACGGTTGTGAATTGTAATGTAAATATCTGATATGCAACCCTTGTGAAAGTCCTTCAACCCCAGAGGGGTCTCGACCCATAGACTGAGAACCACTGTCTTAAAAGCTGAGCCGCCTCTCCAGCCTGTTCAATTTTGTCTTTTTGAAACAGCCGGTTGCCTAACCATGTTTCCCCCTTTTCAGCCCGGAAGCTGCTTCCAGCATAATTGTACACCAAGATGTCCTGGAGAGTGTTGAGCGTGTCTGTGTTTTATAAATTAGGATGTATTAGAGACATGCAGAAAATAACATTAATAACACCCACGCACCTCATGATTAAACCATCAAAACATTTTTGCAGGGCCTAGGAATGGTGTTCAGCTGTAGAGCACTTGTATGACAAGCCTCAGGCCCTTGGTTTGATTCCAGCATTGCAAATAAAATTTAAAAGGCATTTTGGGGCCAGCGAAATGACTCAGTGGATAAAAGCTAGATGACCCGAGTCTGATCCCTAAAACCCATGTGGAAGGAAAGAACTGAGTCCTGAAAATTGTTCTTTGACCTCCACACCCAGGCTGAGGCAAGCGTATACCACACACACACACACACACACACACACACACACACACACTAAAACTTTTAAAACGTCATTTTGCTTCATACCCATGGAGTTTATAAAAAAAGCCAGCCCCACCCTCACTGTTCTTTGTCTCCATAAACTGTGACTATGCTCCTGTTGATGTCTAGCATTACGGTTCATCTTTTTCAACATTAACATATACTGATTTACTGTTCGGGTTTTATGCTTTTATTGTGTATGATTTATTAATCCAATGACTATATGTAGAATGTGAAGTTTTTATGTTTTAAGTTTGTACAAAAATGAGACTGGGTATTATGGCACATGTCTGTAGTCCCAGCACTTGAGAGGCGGAGGCAGGAGGATCAGGAGTTCAAGGTCATCCTTCATGAGACTGAAGCCAGTCTGGATTCTATGACTTTGTCACAAAAACATAATTATAGACATGCTGTGCAACTTTTTTTATTTCCTGTGATGTTTTTGAGATGTGTTGATTTTTTTTTAATTTGTTTATTGTATGTGTGTGTTCACATGTGTGAAGTTGACTTTGTAGTGGTTATTTCTCTGCTTCTACTGTGTGGGTCCCATGCATCTAACTCAGGTTAGTGGCAGGCGCCTTACCTACAGAGCCATCTTACTAGCCCCAGATTCTTTTGTTATAATTAGGTTTATACATCTGCTGTGTCGGTCCTATCCACCATGGGTTTTTTGTTTTTTATTTCTTCATCTTCATGTGTATGTGTGTTCTTTCATGAGTTTATGTGCGAGATGTGTGTGTAAGAACCCTTGGAAGAGGGCATCAGATCCCCGGGAAACTGGAGTTACAGATGGATGATCATGAGCTGCCAGGTGGGTGCTGGGAACTGAACCCTGGCCCTCTGCAAGAACAGTAAGTGCTCCTAACCACTGAGTCATCTCTCCAGCCCCACCCAAGCTTTTCCTTTACCTGTTATTTTCTGCCTCTGTGTCACACTGAGTTTAGTTTCAAACAAGAGAGGCCAGGCTGGGCATAGTGTCATATACCTGAGATCCTAGCACTTGGAAGGTGAGCAGGACTACAGGTTACAGGTCACCCTGGGCTGTGTAGTTAAACCTTGCCTCAAAAATAAATAAATAAATAAATAAATAAATAAATAAACAAACAAACAAACAAACAAACAAATAAATAAATAAATAAATAAATAGCGAGTGCACACAGGCTGGAGAGATGGTTCAGTGGGTAAGAGCATCTGTAACTCCCTCTGCAGGGGATCTAAGACCTTTGGCTTCCCCAGGCACCTGCACTCATGTGTGCATGCCCACATAGAGACACACAGACACATAATTATTAAATATAATTGAAATAAATCTTTTAAAAAAAAAAAGCCAGGCATGATGGCGCACACCTTTAACTGAAGCACTTGAGAGGCCGAGGCAGGAGGATTTCTGTGAGTTCGAGAACAGCCTGATCTACAGAGTGAGTTTCAGGCCAGCCAGGGCTGCCATACCGAGACCCTGTCTCCAACACAAGCATATAAACAGGTGCAGTGGCACTTACCTTTAATCCCAGCATTTGGGAGGCACAGGCAGGTAGAGCTCTGTGAGTTCGAGGCCAGCCAGGTCCACATAGTGAGTCAGGCTCCCTTCCCCACCATCTTAATAAACAAACAAACAAAACCAAATAAACTAGAAATCCATCCTAGGTAGTTCAAGTAATAAAGGAATTGCTTAATAACCTATTCGGAGGGCTGGTAGCAGACTCGGATGCTGAGGGCCTGGCTCCAGAAACGAGCCAGCAAACGAACCACTACCTCTCCAGAAATAGGAAGCCACCAACCGGATGGGAAAGCTGTCACTACACTTAGCTACACTTAGCAGCTCTGAAAACACACAGGAGGAGGAATACTCCCCCACTACAGTTTCATTTTCCAAGGTTTCAATTACACTCCATCAACCATAGTCTAAAAATATTAAGTGGGACATTCCAAAAATTAATAATTCATGAGTTTTACATTGCTTGCTAATCTGAGTAGCAGACTGAAAATTGGTGTCATCTCACAAATGGGTGGGAGACATCCGCTTGCCCAGCATGTCCGGGCTATATAGACCACCTGCCTGTTTGGTCACAGGGTCTCAGGTAGCAGATCAACTGCCACAAAATGCTTTGGTCACCTTTATTTCACCTAATAAAAAGCCCCAGTGGGGGCCGGCAAGGTGGCTCGGGGAAAGTGTATGCAGAGGACTCAGTGATGTCTGTAGTTCATGCAACCACTGGTGGCCCTAGAATGGAGTCCCCCCCACCCCCACCCCACAAGGGAGCCACTCCTGCATTGTCATGGTGAGAAGCCACGGTAGGAAACTCGGACACCACCACCATAGCCCTCCCCAACAGAAACAGCACACACACACTCGCTTCACTTCTCTTCAGAGATCTTCCCTTTTTATTTGTTTATGTGTGTGTGCTCATGTGCACACAAGCAGATTCCCATGGAGGCCAGAAAAGGGCATTGGATCCCTTGAAGCTCAGCTTACAGGTAGCTTGAGTGCCTGAATGTAAGTGCTGGGAACTGAACTCTGGTTCTCTAGAAGAGCAACAAGTGCTTTTAATCACTGAATCATCTTTCCAAACCCATATATGTACTGATGTTGTAAGATAAGAAAAAAATGATGGGAAGAGGCAAAATTGTGCCCAGAATCCTAGCTGCAAGGTTGCCTAGAAAATGTAGTTCAGGGATGGAGAGATGACTCAGAGGTTAAGAGCACCAATTGCTCTTCCAGAGGTCCTGAGTTCAATTCCCAGCACCAACATGGTGGCTCACAACCATCTGTAATGAGATCTGGCTACACAGAGAAACCCTGTCTCCCAAAAAAAAAAAGAGAGAGAGAGAGAGAGAGAGAGAGAGAGAGAGAGAGAGAGAGAGAGAGAGAGAGAAAATGTAGTTCTAACCTAGCTTTTCCCATCTGTAAGGGCTGAAGGACACTGGGATGGCTCTGGAGCTGAATGGACTGTCTCCATCAGTTTGAGTACAACATCAGGGGCTGCCAGACTGCATCCTAATCCCACGTTTCTATCTACCATCTGACTGGAATATATTCACTCTATTTCTAGTCTTCTTGTAATTAACTTGTTTTCATTTTTTTTTTTCAATGAACCCAGCATCTTGCACACGATAGGCAGGCCTCTACCACTCAGCCACACCACCTAGCCCTAAACTTAAATTTTAATCCAATAAATACATTGTTTGGAATTGCTTGGAGTAAGTATAGAGGTTTATAATT